AAGTGTTTGGAAGCGTGCATATGATTTTTTAAAAAGATTTAGGAAACAAGTAAGTTTTGGAAATGCATATACATATACATATATTAATGAAACAACAACACCAAAAAAATATCTACAAAGAATTTGAATAGCACAAAACTTATACATAAATATCAAATAGCCTAACAAAAAGCTAAAAAATATAATAATTTGTTGCTTTTAACCTACAAACGCAATCTTTCATAATTACATTGTTAACCTACAACAGCACTAAATATGTCTTCGCATTACCAAACTATTTAATTATTACGCTAAAAATCCACAAATTTCTGTCACGTTCGATTTCGTGGTATTTCCAAATTGAGATTTTTTAGGAAACATGTTTCCGTCGCGTTGCCAAGTTGGAATTAAACGTTTCTATTGTGTTTCCAAATTGAATTTTTATAGGAAACATGTTTCATGGCGTTTCCAAGAGTTCCAAAACATTTCCGGAACAGGAAACGCACCTCGAATGGAGTTTCCGTACAACCTAGCACAATGAGAGGCTGTGATTCCCTTAGAGCTGCTTCTATAGACAGACTAGGTGAAGAGGTGAATTTTCTGTTCTTGATCCATCTCTGCAATGATTTATATAGTCCTGTTATCACTTCCTTCCTTTCACAGGTACAACTGCAAAACGACGACTTCCAAGAAACTGAGATGCTGAGTTATGTACCGAATCGCCATGCCATAATGGCACGTTTCCTTGACTCTGAAGACAGAAAATTTGAAGAGGTGAATTTCCTGCTCTTGATCCATCTCTGCTATGATTTCTGTAGTCCAGTGACTAGTTATCACCTCCTTACTTTCATAGGTACACCCGGGAAAGGACTACTTCCTAGAAACTACAATGACGGGCTATGATATCCATAACTATTATTGATACAGACAATTTGGAGAGGTGAACATTATGATTTTGATTTGTACTATGATTACAATGATTTATGTAGTCATTTCTTCTTACTTTATAGACACACTTGCAAAATGACAGGCTATTTCCTTGAAGCTGATTCTAAAGACAGACAATGTGAAGAGGTGAATATTCTGATTTTGATTTGTCTATACAATGATTAGGGAGTCATTTTATCACCTGCTTCTTTTTATAGGTACGGAATGAACATACCATTATGACAGTCCGTGCTTCCCTTGATCTTGCTTTGGTAAAGATTTCCTCGAAGCTGCTTGTAAAGCTAATTGCAAAGACAGACAAAACGAAGAAGTGAATCTTCTGCTTTCCATTTGTCTCTACTTCATCCCCAATCTTTTATAGGTACAGCCGAGAAGTGAGATAAACCCGTATTTGTTATGGTCCTAAGGGTTTTCAACCGGTTTAGGTCATGAATGTTTGTAGATTTTGGAATGATGAGTTTTTAGCAAAGAAAAATCCCTTCTTCAGTGA